TGCGCAAGTCCATGGGACCTGATGAGATGCATCTGTGGGTCCTGAGGGAACTGGTGGATGAAGTGGCTAAGCCGCTCTCCATCATATCTGAGATGTCATGGCAGTCCAGGGAAGTTCCCTCTGACTGGAAAAGGGGAAACATAACCCCAATTTTTAAAAAGGGAAGAAAGGAAGACCTAGGGAACTACAGACCGGTCAGTCTCACCTCTGTGCCTAGCAAGATCATGGAGCAGATCCTCCTGGAAACTATGCTGAGGCACATGGAAAATGAGGAGGTTGGTGAAAGCTGACATGGCTTCATGAAGGGCAAATTGTGCCTGACAAATTTGGTGGCCTTCTACGATGGGATTACAGCATTGGTGGATAAGGAGGAGCAACTGACATCACCTACCTGGACTTGTGCAAAGCATTTTACGCTGTCCTGCACGACATCCTTGTCTCTACATTGGAGAGACATGGATTTGACAGGTGGACCACTTGGTGGATAAGAAATTGGCTGGATGGTTGTGCTAATGAAGAGTTGTGGTCAACGGCTCTATGTCCAACTGGTGACGAGTGGTCTTCCTCAGGGGTCGGTGTTGGGACCGGGGCTGTTTAACATCTTTGTCAGTGATGTGGATTGAGTGTACCTTCAGCAAATTTCTCCACAACACCAAGCTGTTGTGGTGTGGTCGACATGCTGGAGGGAAGGGATGCCATCCAGAAGGACCTGACAGGCTTGAGAGGTGGGGCCCTGCAAATCAACAAGGCCAAGTGCAAGGTCCTGCACATGAGTTGGGGCAATCCAGGCTGGGTAGAGAATGGATTGAGAACAGCCCTGAGGAGAAGGACTTGGGGATGCTGCTTGACAAGAAGCTCAACATGAACCTTCAATGAGCACTTGCAGCCCAGAAAGCCAACCGTATTGTGGGCTGCATCAAAAGCTGCATGACCAGCAGGGCGAGAGAGGGGTTTCTGCCCCTCTGCTCCACTCTGATGAGACTCGCTCTGCAGTACTGCCCTCAGCTCTGGAATCCTCAGCACAGGAAGGACATGGACCTATTGGAGCGAGTCCAGAGGAAGCCATGAAGATGATCAGAGGGCTGGAGCATCTCTTCCATGAAGACAGGCTGAGAGAGTTGGGGGTGTTTAGCCTGGGGAAGAGAAGGCTCCAGGGAGACCTTAGAGCAACCTTCCAGTACCTAAAAGGGGCCTACAAGAAAGCTAGGGAGGGAGTTTATACAAGGGCATGTAGTGATAGGACAAGGGGCAGTGGCTTTAAACTGGAAGAGGGAAGATCTAGATTAGATTTTAGGAGGAAATTCATCACCGTGAGGGTGGTGAGGCACTGGAAGAGGTTGCCCAGAGAAGCTGTGGATGCCCCATCCCTGGAAGTGTTCAAGGCTAGGTTGGATGGGGCTTTGAGCAACCTGATCTGGTGGAAGGTGTCCCTGCCCATGGCAGGGGGGTTGGAACTAGGTGATCTTTAAGGTTCCTTCCATCCCAAACTATTCTATGATTACTTACAGATATGAAATGATCTCATTTAAGGTTTGTTACATTGGTTGCTGCTGAGTAGAGACCACTTGAACTGTAGGAGCAAAACCAAAACTTAACTCAAATTTTATAACTCAACTAATATAAGTAATATTGAAAGGTAAGGGAGAAGGGTTTTGAATTGCTTTGTTTTTTCTAACCGGTGAGCACCTTAAGTTGGTTATGGAAACGCCATCATAACATTGAATTGGATTCACAACCAGACAAGCAATGCTTTGCCCCAAAGCAGAGCATTCTGATCAGACTCAGGCTGCTGTCCTTGGGGACATAAATTCTCACATACTGCTCTGATGCTTTAAGAGAGTATAAGCCTTTCCTGAATGAGTAGGAGCTTGCTAATATCAGTGGGAAGGGCCAGTACTTAGCAACAGTTTGCATAAGCAGCTACTGCTTCCAGGGAACACGGCTGATAATATTAAATTGTTGGTGCTCTGCATCCCTGGATATGGTCTCTTTCCTTGTGTCTTCTATTTTGACTGAAGTAGCAAAGTTGTAAACAGTATCTTTCACATCAAAACACTGTATTAGTGTCTTTTATTCAGATGGATTGTCAAACATATGTGACATATACAGACATTTTCTCTTACACCAGTCATGTGTCACTCACCCTACATACACTGTGAGGTTACCACCTCAATGGATAGTCAAAGGTGACCTAAGGGTCACCTGTCCCATAGAAGGGACTCGCCATCTCTGTTGACTACATAGGATGCCAAAAGTTAGGCATCTTTGTAACTTGGAAGTCTCAGTTAAATCTTTAAAGCCAATTAGGATGAGTAACAACTTTTGTTGTGTCCTTGTCCCATTCCTATGGAGTGGCCTGACTCAGATTGTTCACTTCTTATCCACCTGAAAGACCTGGTGTTTCCAGCTGGCATGTGAAGTGTAAAGGAAGGTCAGGCTCCGATGTTGCGCCTGCAAGCTCTTTTCTTCCCTGGGGAATGTCAATCTGTTTCCTCGTCCTGGTCTTCTACAGTCAGCCCATGGAGAGTTGTACGGAGTACATGGATCTGCTTTGATCTTCCTTGGTCAGTGCTTTATGCAGACACAGCAGTTTGCATGTACAAAGAGGTGTCTTACAGCCTTAAAAAGCAATCACACTCTGTAGTGTGGTAGGTGGATGGTGGTAAGAGAATGTTGCTAATTTATACTGTAAGTACTTATTTGAAGAAAACAGAAGTATGTTGTGTCATGGCAACAGTCACTGGAATATTAACATATCCCATTGATTTTTGTTTTGAAGGTCTGGAGTGCTCACCTTTGTATGGAACACAAGGCTCAAGCAGCTCAGCAGAATTAAGACAAATTCTTGAATGTGGTAAGTACAGTTGTCTTCCTTAAAGCACTGGACACATTTTGTGGTCAGACCACTCCTCTTTTCTTTGCTCCCCTACTCAGCTTAAATATGTATGTGCTGGTCCTGAATAATACAATATTGAAAAGACAAATATAAGTAAAAAAGGTTTCTAACTTTTACACTTAATATGAAAGGTATTTTTCACTTTTACAGGTTGTCTTTTTTTCATGGCTCCACGCTGTATTTTTTTTTCCCAAGAATAATTATTTTAATCATTTCTTGGTCACTTGCTTGTTCAAGGGCTGACAATCTAGCTGGACAGATCAAAACAAGGTGTTTTGTTCAGAAGCACAATAAAGATACACTATTCTTGTAAAGCTGCAGGTTATTATTTTGTAAACAAATGACCATTTGTTTATATACAATTCTGTGTGTGCATATTTTTGGTCCAGTAGATGGGGAGGCAATAGTTGCACATTCCCTGCCTGCTACAGAGATGATACTGGAAGGGAAAGGATTGAATTAATGTTGCTGCAGTAGGCTGGATTCTCAGGTTTTGGACAGTAAAATGCAGCTACACCACTGACACCAGATACACGTTCAAGTTCCTGAAATAGAATTCCTTCTCTTTTTGGTACTATGTTTCTGCTTCAGGCCAGAATATATTGGTATGGCAACACTCAGTTGCAGTATGAGACATCACGAGCTATTGTAGGAGGAGTGTCTGACCACACCTTTGCACCCTGGGGTGCAATGTGGGGTGTGAACTTCCACTTGCATAAAAGAGCACAAAAATACAAGGCTAGAAAACGAAACTAGTTACACACCATGTTGCCAAAGGGACAAAGGAAGCAAACTCAAACTGAATTAGCTCTCTTCCTTTTTAGTAATTGCAAAAATTAACAAGATGAACAAGATATGATACTATGAGTTGTTTGTACCTTCAAATCAAAAGAGCATCCTATCCTCTGCTGATTGTGGTGGGAGTGAAGAAGTATACGAATGCAAGCAGAGAGAGGAGATATGCACATGGTGCTAGCAACCTAAGCCATATTTTTAGTGTTGTAATTATATTTTTCAGTCCAAATAAATCCAGATTTTTCTATGACACCAATATGAATGTATCTCTTAATTTATCTGAATCCCTTTTTAAGTCTCTAAACTGAGGTGTACTTTTATGAAAGGTTCATCTATCTCCTGAGATCTAGAACTTGTGGTTTACATGTATTCTTATTTAAAATGTAATTAGGTTTGAGAAAACAAAACAGGAATTTACCCTTTAGTAATAGTTTATCTTTCTGAGTTCTCTTTAAGATAGCATCAGAATCTTCCAGGACAGAGCTGGTGCAGTGGGTGTCCAGATACATAGATACAGACAGATCTCATCTCCTCCGCCTACTCTCTTTGAATTAGCAGAGTGCTATTTCAGAGAGCAAAGTCAGCTTTGGTCTCAAAGTTGTGAGCTGCATTAGTATGCTGTTCTGCTTACAATTAAAATGCTCTCCATATTAATTGGATAACTGCCTGTTAGCTTTAATACAGTGCTATCTGGCTCCAAAATCAAAGCTGACTTGCATCTGGCCAGCTCGGCAGATTGGAAGAGTTCAGGTCTGTTTATGACATTACACCTAAATTGTTGCAGAGTACCACAAGTTTATTCTTACTCATGTATTTATTATAATAATATGGGATATACTTCAGAGAATGGATCAACACTGAAAGAACCAGGATTTAACAAGACTTATGAAATAAAACATCGTATGAGCAACAAAACTAATGAAAACTATTTCTTATGAATTTGTGATTGGACTCTGACACCTAATTGCTCTTGTAGAATTTATACCCACACTGCAAGTTTTTTATCATCTGAGCCATTCCGAATGTCTTTTTTCTTATGAAAATTCTTTGGTATTTGATAAGAATTGAGCTCATACTGGAAGCATTGCTTTGGGGAAAACAGAAAGAAGGTGGAGGAGCACTAAGTTTCTCACCACCCCCTCTTGGCTGCCCTTTTCACAGTGCGTGCAGACACAACACATAACTGATTCCTCTACCTCCCTGTTGAATTTGGTTTAAACTGGCCAAATAGGTTCAGGAATTATTTTGCAGGTGACTTGGCTAGCCTAGAAAGTTGGTCAGCATTGATACCTCTAAATTCTTGTACCAAATGGGTATCTTTCTATAAACATTCTGGACTTTGCTCCACCAGAGTTTCGTGTTTTAAGAGGAACTGTAATCTTCTTTGTGCTAAGTAAGCATTTGTATTTTCCTATTTTTATTTTTGCTGCTGATATTCCTTGCTCCAACTCTAACAAGTAGTCTTTTATGTGACACTCCCAAACCTTAGCCCAAGTCCCAACTGTCCTGGAAGTGTATCAGGTTTTACAAGATAAATCCTAACAGCTGCATGAAACACCAAGCACCCAGTTTTGCATGTGTATATTTGTTTCCACTTACTCACATGAATATTTACAGACTTGAAGCTCCCAGTTGTTAATCAAACTTCCAGTCATAATAGGAGTAGCTACCAGCAGAAAAGCTGCATTTGCCCAAACCCTTGGTTAATACTTCTTACACAAAATATTTACAGGTAAAACAGAGTCCTGTTAAAAATATTCTGAGGTTCCATAACATTGCCAACATGCAGCAAAGTCACTACCGTTATTCTGAGTTCAGCCCTGCACTGTTTATGATGGAAGGCAACACACGTCTGTGGAAGCCATTTGGTTCATCGGATGCCAAAGGCCTGTGCGTGGTATTGAGCACTGTATGTTCTTCATCTCAAAGATATTTCTTGGTATCTTACATTCTTTCTTGCAAGTTGTTCCCTGTAAAACAGATATGTTAGCAGTTTTGCCTTGGTATAAAGCCCTAATATCATAAGCTTGTGTATTTTTACCAGTTTCTAATGTCTAGAATATATGTTGCTCTTTTCCTTTAGATGCCTCCTCATTGGATTTAGAGACATTTGATGTGCACACCTTATCAGATGCTCTCAAGAGGTATCTCCTGGACCTGCCAAATCCCATCATTCCAGCAGCTGTTTACAGTGACATGATTTCTGTATCTCAAGGTATGGTTATCACATTATTTCAAATGTCAGACAAAAAAGCTTTTGTTAAAATTCTGAATATCCAGTGGTTCAGCTGTCACCCACAGAACAGGGAAGATTTTGCACAACCTGGCAGCATCTCAGAAAACTTACATACTTTCACCACTTTTGATGAAAGCTGTTTCAATTCAGATCTAGACACGTGTTATTTAGTTACCGGTTTAGGTAAACATAATGTAAAATATAAAGAATAACACAGTTCTCATTTTAGTAAGCAGAATGACTATAGAAAAACTAGGGCGAAAAATCAAGGACTTATCTGTATGCAGAAAGCTAATTTTTAACTTTTTATCAGTGCTGACAAAGTAAATGTATTGGAGGTCATGGTGTTCTGCAGTATGTTGGGAGTTGCAGATCATGAAGTGAGAAATACATGCATGTAAGATTCATCATCTACAGTGGTCATCTCAAACAAGTACAACTTACAGGCTTTCAGCACATGAGCCAAGTATTCTGTTATATATCTCAGGACAGGATATTGTAACTGGTAACCTTCAAAGTTAGAACGGCACCTGTGAGACTTATCTAGTGCATCTCAAAATTGCCCAATCATGTGTGACGCTAAACACAAGACAGACTTCTACCAGTACACTCTGAAAACATTGTGGTTTTTACCAAAATGCATATCTGTTTCCATTTGACTTTTAAGTACTTGTTCTTTACTCTTCCCTGAGCATTTCACTTTTTTCAAAAGAAGAAAGAAGTCTTACAGCACTAGTGAAGGACAGAATTTTTTTTTTTCTGTAAAATTGTTGCTTCCAAAGGAATCATACATAGTTTCATTTTACCTGTTGAGTGTTCCTGCCCTGATATCAAGAGCCTTTTATCTTTTTGCTTGCAGAAGTGCAGAGCTCGGAGGAATATGCTCAGTTGCTGAAGAAACTCATCAGATCTCCAAATATACCTCCCCAGTATTGGCTCACACTCCAGTATTTGCTCAAACATTTCCTCAGAGTTTGTCAAGCCTCCAGCAAAAATCTCTTGAATGCAAGGTCTCTGGCTGAAATTTTCAGCCCTCTGCTTTTCAAATTCCAGATAGCAAGGTACGTAGGTCATTTTTATTATATTTTGTACTGTAAATATGGGTTAGTTATATACAAAAGTAAGTTTAATGAATTAATTTTCTGACCTTACTTATAATGTAGAGGGCATTGTTGTAAATTTTTCCAATGTTTTTTGAATAATTCTAATGTAAACTTTTGCATTTTTTCTGGTTCTTACTGCCTAATCCATCTCTTGCAGCTCTGATAATACTGAACACCACATAAAAATCCTAGAGGTTTTAATCACAAGTGAATGGAATGAGAGAGAGCCTGTACCAGGTAAAAACTATTTTTAATTTTAAAGTTATATACCATTGTTTTCTTAAATATTAAAATTCTACTTATGGACAGTAAATGCTCATTGTTTTTCTTTTTTAAATCAAACTTAATGCAAAAGTGCATAATTACAGAACTAAGCGGAAGTTGTTTGTATGTTCTATAGTGGTATGCAGCATTTGTTTTATAAGAAATTGTCTTTTTATTAAAATCATTGTAGTAGCCGTAGTTTGTACAGCCTTAGGACTTTAATTTCTTTTTCAGTAAACAGTGAATGGGAATTCTTAATTTTTAAGACCTGTAAACCAATAGAATGCATATTATACAGTGGGGCAGGCGGGTAAATTCTGGAGATTTTATTTAACTTTCACTTTACTCCCAGACAAATTTTCTTAGAACAATATCCCATATCCCATACAATATCCCATAGAGATCATCGGAAGAAAGTAAGATTTCCCCCTTTATTTACATATATGTATTTTTTAATCCAGAGACTGAAAAGATTTATTTATCAATATCAGTAAACAATGCAGAAAATATTAAAACTCCATTCAGGAAAGTTAGATTACACTGGTATTGATTCTGTGAGTTAGCATCTAATTTAGTCAACAATGAGTAAACTCCACCTTTAATTTATGCAAAAATTACCAGTTTTAAATCAAGGTTTTGGTAGGAACAAGGCAGAGTTGCTAACTATGTGCAAAGGAAATTATTAACGTAGGGGGACTTTAGATGTTGGCTTAAAGTAATTCCTTTTACAGCTTATTAACAGAGAATAGCTGAACAAAGGATAGGGCAGAACATTGGGCAGGCTGTAGCTTTCCCACCTCTATATTCAAAGTACAAGGTAAAGTTCATGGCAGTAGGATTTGTAGCGCTGCTTAAGATCTGAAGAGCTAGAACACAGCAGCAGAAAAATGCCTTATTTCTCGTATTTCAGGTAGGCACATTGTATAATTCCCTTCATCAACTAATGAAGATTAATTGAAAAGGGCTAAGATTTTTGTTCCTACTGCTTTCATTGAAAGACTTTTCCAACCTTGCCAGCTCTATTAGTTAGGAACCTTTCCCTGACGTTTAGTGTACACTTATTTTCAGCTAGTTTATACCTACTTGGTTTTGTTCAATTTTGTCAAAATAGTTAAGCAGGCATTTCCAGAGCCACTGTGTATTTTTCCTCTTAATGCTTCGTAACAACCAGGAGAGTTCAAACTTCTAATGACTATTTGTCGTATTTCACTAAGAATCAGCAAATAACTGCTAATTGTTAAAGAATTACTTTTTGCCACCTGTTATAAGCCTTAAAAAACAAAATACATTATTGAATCCTCTAACATTCTAAAGAGTTTGCTGATAGCTTTTTTTTTTCTTATATGTTTGCAAATGCTTTAGAGTATGTAAATTTATATGGCTAGAGGCACTGATTGGGAGGTTACAAAGGTAGGTCAACAGTGAGAGTTTCTTAAGTTGGACTTAAGAAATCACTTGGTTGCGTATCATCCTGAGTTGCTTCTTGTGAGAAAAGTATAAAAGTGAAAGGTCTTGATGTCAGAACTACTAATGAGGGCAAGGAGTCTAGTCATCTTGAGAGTATCATTAGAGTGCTTGAAGAAATGTGGCTGTATCCATCAGATTTATAGGGTTTGACACTACACTGATAATTATAATCTAACATCTGCTTGTTTTTAATAGTGCTTCAGCATTAATTAGTATTTCGTGATGCAACAGTTTATTTTGAGGGTCCTCCTGGGATTTTTCATATGTTCTGGTACAAAAATGGAACTTCTTCCCTGTGCATTTCAAAGTCCAACCTGGGCAGTGGAATGTTTTTTAGTAGAACATTTGCACATCTGTTAATATGCTGAAAAAACTCAGATAGAAATTTTCAAGCTTTGTATTCTCTGGTTAGCTAGCCTCTGCTCTTAGGCCTGTAAAGCACTCAAATAATTTTCAAAAGTTGAGCCTTAGTAGAATGTTATGAAAGTTTACAGAATTAGGACACGAGTCTGTTTTCCACACCAAAATCATTCAGTGACTCGATCATCGGAAGTGCTCTGTTTTATAGTTCTCATAGAAGACTCTAAGATGTATCATCTTCTAGAATTATCATCTTCAAGATTATTGCTTGTAGTGGCTTGAGTTTCCATAAAAATTGTTTAGAGACATTGTAATAAAAGGAAGATTCCTAGAAAAGATAACTTATTTGTCAAATAATTATTCTGAGAATTACAATCTATAATAGATTTTTTTTAAAGTGCAGAAATTAAGAGGTTTTAAGCAGAAAGAATCTTACTTGTTGATAATAACGCAGTGACAACTAACTGATAACAGAGAAGCCAATGTTGCCAGGTTGGTTCTCTTTTTCACAGGCTGGAGTGATAGCTTCCTGCTTTCTTTTTCTTTCCGTTATTCTCAAGCCTGGTTGAAAACATTATGTCTAAAACGAGCTGTGCATGACGTTTTAGTGGTATCTTACACAGTACATAGATACATTAAATGTAGTGTTGGAGATAACTGATCTGAATAGGGAGGAGATCTTTGCACAGCTGGGGTTTTTTCTTATCCCATCACCACTAATTATCCTTCTTGCCTTAAAGCAATAGAAAGTATGCAATTCAACCTTGTATCTTAAGATATCTTAAAATTAAATTGGGCATCTTTAATTGGACATCTTATAGCTAGAGTGATGCTTTGCACACTGTGATGCAAAAACAGGAATTACTCCTAGGCCATTACTTGATTATTTTTATTTTTTTTTTAAATCACAGAACAACTCTGGACTGAATTTTTTTTCCCTCTGTCACAGTGTTCAACAAAAAACTATGCATTTTAGTTTGTGAATTAGAATAGTGCTTAGCCGTCCACAAAAGTTAAAGTTAAAATGCTGGTTGTGTCTATGTGTGTAGTAGGTGAAGACAAGGTAACATTGCAGGAGAAGTAAGATTGGAGAAATGGTTGGTGTTTTGAATAATTGGTAACCAGATCCATTTTCTGATTCTTGTCTCATTCTTCAAATTTATCAGTGGGAGAGCCAAATGATGGTGTTAGTGGGCAACCTAGGTGATTTAGCATCCCATTTTAACACCCCAACTTGATGAACAGCTACATAGGCTTTAATTATAAGAGTAATGCTGATTTTACAATCAGAAACAAAGTGCATGTCTCTAAATATGCTATTCAAAACAGTAGTATTAGAAGAAAGTATCTTAATTGTAACATTATAGCTAACAGTGCTGCTTATGTCTCACAGAATCTCACACAAAATAGAGGTGTGAAGGCATGTGTGCTTTTAGAGGTAAATATTGAAGAATAGGCTGTCTGTAGGTATAGAACACTGGATTGGTTGGTTTTTTTCAGTTAATTTTCCAGGATCATAAAGGCTTCTGGCTTTCCCATCTGGAGGAGGCCTACCCTGGATGTAGGTCCGAAAGCTGTCCGTCAGGCCTGGCAGGTGCTCGGGCAGCGTGGTCAGTTAGGAGCTGATATCTGGGAAGGCAGGTTCTGCAGAGGAAGGTGGGGCGATGGGAGAGTTAGGAGGCGATTTGTGGGGGGAACTCAGGGAGATGGGGGTCCTGTGGGGTTGGAGGATGTTAAGGAGCACGGAGTGGCTTTGGGTGTGTGCGATTAAGGTATGTTTTGTTGCAGGAAGGCAAAGAGGAAGAGGGATGTGGTGGGAGGGCAAGGGCCATGGGGAGTTGGTGGCATTGCGGGCAGACAGGCTGGTCAGGAGCAGGGGAAGAGCTACTGCGCTGGCAGGAAGGAGCTGCCATCCTGTATGGATGAACTGAAGCCTCTGATGGCCTGTGCAGTAACTCAAGCTGAGCTGGTTCATCTAGACTATCCCAGTTCATTCCTGTTTCCTAGGCTGTAAATAATGGCTCAAGCTGTGAAATACTGCAGTTTTAAGCATGAAGAGGTAGGTTTTAACTACTCACAGGGTCATAGCTAAGAATGAGTGAGGTAATGAGACTGCCTTATACATAACTGCTCGCTTGCTGGGGATGGGGTGAGAGTCCTGGCAGTATCACCAAGATGCAGACAGTTTGCCTAACAGCTGCACAAAATACTAGCACGCGTGCTATCGTAACAGCCAGAGCAGGGGAGCGTAAAGGCTGACGCTGTTCCCCTTGTGATCAGACACAAAGCTCCCCTGGCCTGCTGGGGCGGTCAGGCTCAGCCCACAGTCCTGTCGGTAGTGTCGTGGGGACACAAACAAATATGTAGGAACGCTGTCCCTCGTCGGGACTCTTCTGCATCACGTCGCGGGGTCGGCGGGCCCGTCGGCAGCGCGGAGCGCGGGCGCAAGGCGGTCTGTCTCGGCGGCAGCCC